AACTTTGTGGCCTTTGTTTATTTTCCCACGCTTTTAAATCCTGTAGATTAAAGGTTACTTGAGTCGATTATTTTCAAACATTTCGAATCAAAGTTATCTGTCATAATCTGAAAAGTAAGCAGATAATATACTTGTGGAATAATTTGTAACAATATTGTAGGGAAGAAACCAACTTAACATTTCGATACCAAGCAAGTCGTTTCCGTCGGGAAACTCAATTAAAAATCCATCAAGCACAAAAGATAGCTGGATACAGTGTTTACCACTTGATTTAACGACACTTGGCAGCTATCTATATTCGGATTTGCAAATATCATTGGTTGCGACAAGCCAGCCCAGTCAGTCCCGGAGGCTATTATTAAATATCCGTGCGGGGTAGGTCAGTTATAGATTGGGTTGAATGAAGGAGAGGGGAAACTGGGTTTATGGGCAGCGGTTTTATTTGGAGAGGTGTAGCTTTTGGTCTGCTCATATCGATTTTTGTGGCGCCAGATAAGATTGTACATATATCTGTGTGACTAGAGTGATTTCAACGGACGCAGTCAATTGGTCGCCAAGTGTATAGAACTGCATTAGGGTGTGTCGTTTCGAATTCGATATACATATATTTAAACAATTATTCAAAACTCTTATTGGCATTAATATATGTAATATATATTTATATTCGATCCGAACCGATCCCGATCCGAGTCAGCCTGTTTTTTATAGAGTTTGCCTTAAGAGGCTACAAATACGTCAAACATTGTTGACATTTATTTGGTTAAACAAATGACGAAAAAACTCCAGAAATGTGTGCTCGGAGTCAGATAGAGTTTCCTACGTGACTGCAGCGCGCTTTGTTCCCCTTCGCCAATGTTTGTGGACTTTTTTTTGGGGGCGGATTCTTGTGGCGCCTTTGTTTCGGCCTCGGTCAGTGTTTATTTTTCCTTTTAGTGGCTGAAAGCAAAAGTGCAAAAAGTTTTCTCTAAAAATACTTTTAGTCGGGCACCCAACAGATGCAGAAAGGAAATGGCCCATAACTGGGCGGAAAAAGGGAGGACTTTGGAAAATAGACCACTCCCAGTCTCGAATAGTTTGAGCTTGATGAACTCTTAATGAGTTCATGGGTCCACCTAAGGGATTCGATTCCCTTTTCCAGTCACGGTCATTAATCAATCAATTATTCATCATTTGTAAACTTACAAATAAAGTTGCTAAAGAAAATTTCTTTAGCAACGTGACCTGAATAAAATACGAATGCTAATGGTAACTACGGATATTTGGATTGAAGTAAAAATAAATATAAAATATTATTATAGACATATTATTTTATATACTATAATTAGTGTAATGCAGTAAGGCTCAGTTAATTCTGAACAAAATAGGATCTGTGCTCTTTACAACTAATTTTATAGCCATTGTGTTTAACGAAGTTCTTTTTAAGTCTACAAATGCTTTAAATTATTCTCCACCCCAAATTCTTGGCTGCTTTTCGTGTGCTTCCTCGAAGCAATTCTATCTGATCTCCTGGGTCTTGGCTCTTGGCTCAGTTTACTATTATCTGTGCGCTTATAATAATAATAGTCCTCCCTTTGTCCCAGCAACGACCATTAAAATGTAACGCCCACATCTGGTGTCCTTGGTCACAGAGTTCCTGGTCTTGGCTTTCGTCCAGGAGGTCGGAGGTGAACCAAGAAATCCCCTTCGAGACTCGAGCACTGGGGCGAAAGCTAATTATGCGAAAGGCAAACAATTTGGCAAGTCCACGTCAACACCTCGGACAATCCAGTGTGGTGATAAAAGGGGAGTTCATGTTTTGCACGGCATCTGCAGCTCAGAAAATAAAAGATATTAGTCGGAGGAAAGTCCCTTCAGAGGCTGTGTGAAATTTTAGTAAACAAGTTGGAGCCCTCGGGTGCTGTGGCACCGAAATTAGGGATGAAAAGATTATAACTTCTGGCGGATTCATGTAAAGATTATATACATTGTTGAATAAATATTGTTTTTAAATGTAAGGCCTGTTTTCCATGTTCCTCCTTTCCAGCCAGTTCTCATTATTCGCTTCATATCTGTTTTTTTAGTGAATATTGTAATCCTTGCTTTAAGGCAAACCCATAGCTGCGACAAAATAAATTTTTTTTTCGTCCTTTTTTTTTTTGAAAGCCGTCGTTGTGATTCGTTTTGTTTCGCTAAGGGGAGTATTTAACATATTTCGTTGGCGGTCTTGTTATTCACTTGAAAAGTTCGCCAAGGATGTGTGCTTGTGCTCACGACTGCCAGACATGGTAAAGTATCTCCGGTTATTGTTGTGTTGTGGCTTACAAGTGTGGGCGCTAGTTCAAGGTCGCATAATTGTGCTGGTTGGGAGGGAGGGAGGGACTGCTAAAATATGAAAATAGCTCGAGGGAATCAAATTCCAAGTAATGGCATCCTTAGCATGCGCAAGTATGTTAATTTTATAAGCTCGACCCAAGAAAATGTTGATGTCGACATTTTTCTTATGACGCTCAGGCCATTTACGAGTTTGCAAAACCACAAAAGCTTAAACATTATTCTTAAATTCACACTAAGAAATGTACTAAACCATATTTATTTTCTTAAATTACGAGGAATGTAGCCTCAGTGGAAGTTCTACCGTATTATAGGATGGTACTTAATCAGCTTAATTCAGCTAACTATTTCGCTCTTATGCACTTTCAGAACAAATTCACACGCCCACATTGCACCAGGAACCATTTAATGAAGAAGACTGAACAACCACGCCCACGAAGTACTTGTAAACTACTAAATCAAAAGCCACCGCTCAAGTAACTCAGAAGCACACAATCAAAACCACAAGAAATCCACTCGTCGGAGACCGAGGGAGCCAAGAGACCAAGCCAATCCCAGCCAAGATGTCGTCGCGTTCCAAGGAGAGAGTAGTCACTGCATTCCGCAAAATCTTCCACAAGTCCAGCAATAACAATAATAACAACAACCATAATAATAACATTAATAATAACAACAATGACAAGGTCGATGGCGCCACTGGCAGCAGTCCGAATATAAACAACAATAATAATAACAACAATCACGACGGGGCATCACCCTCTTCGGCAGGAGGCGTCGCAATGGGCGGTGGAGCAGTCGGATCATCTGGATCCTCCGGTGCCTCCAAGAATGCTGTAGTTCGAATGGCTGCCGAGCAGGCTGTTTGGGATTCCCCAGGCAAGCGGCGACGACAAGATCATAAGTGAGTGTTTTAAAGAAAACGAAATCAAATTGTATTCGGCAAGCTTCATGAAAGAATCACCCATCTTTAATGTGAAAGAGCTGATCTCGGTACTTTCTATCCATCTCACAGGGTGGCGCCGACGAAAGAACGCCAACTGGTGGCGGCGCCGGATCAGACGATTCGATCCCGCCGCCTAATGAAGGAATACCGCGAAATGGAGCGACTGCAGACCAAGAACGATGCTGTCTTCACGGTAAGGACTCTTTTGATTTTGATTTGAAAATCCTCCTTTTATACAATTACTAACATCCTACCATCTTAGGTGGAACTCGTCAACGATAGCCTGTTCGAGTGGCACGTACGCCTGCATGTGATTGATCCCGATTCGCCCCTGGCCAGAGATATGGTCGAGATGGGTGTGCCGGCCATCCTGTTGCACCTGAGCTTCCCCGACAACTTCCCCTTCGCCCCGCCGTTCATGCGCGTGGTGGAGCCGCGCATCGAGAAGGGTTACGTGATGGAGGGTGGTGCCATCTGCATGGAGCTGTTAACGCCTCGCGGATGGGCTAGTGCCTATACGGTGGAGGCGGTCATCATGCAGTTCGCAGCCAGCGTGGTCAAGGGTCAGGGCAGGATCATGCGGAAGCCAAAGAGTACAAAGGAGTTCACTCGGTAAGGAAATATATCTTATGTCAATATCATTTGTGATTGCACTCTGTGATCGCTCCACAGGCGCCAGGCGGAGGAGTCGTTCCGTTCGCTGGTGAAGACGCACGAGAAGTATGGATGGGTGACGCCCGCCCTGTCCGATGGTTAAGCGCCGCTTCCGGACCGCAAGGAACTGCTCAGATGCTCTGCGTTTGCCAACCAATGCAATTTAATATTCAGCCACCCAGCAAAGTTCGCTCATAGTAATACTTCAAGCCATCTATCCATCTTTATACTCTCTCTTTGTTTCATCTACTTGTCAAGTAACGAACGATTTCAATTGCAAACCATCCAAAGCAACAATACGAATTCTAAGAAACAAACAACAAGAAATAATAAAACAGCAAAGGAAACAAAGGAAAAACGCGCATCAAGCAACAAATTAGCTTAAAGTGTAACTCTAGCTCTTAGTCATCAGTAAATCGGAAGTTTCGCCGAATACAAAATGGATAATTAAGTATTATTTAGTTGAACAGAAACGAAAAAACAAGTACGATGAACAGCACTTTTCCATATTAATTTCAATCGCCTAGCGCATATTTTTAAGTTACAAAAGATTTACAGAATCAATTAGTCTGATATCTTGGTTCGACTGTGTTATTATAATTTGTTGTGATTTTTGTTAAATTTAAACAAACCATCAAGAAACCAAATTACAACATCAGCTTGTAAACATGAGTGTGTTCCTCGAAATTCGCACTTTCATTTTAAGCTATGCATAATAAATAAATGTAACATGTGTCTATTATCGCATTTTGATTGACTGGTCGTACTTCAATTTACTTGGGGACTTTTGATATTTAAATTCATCAATGGTTACTTAGGATATGTTGTTTTTGCATATTTAAATTCTTCTAATCTGGCTAATAAAATTGTTATTTAAGATCTTTTAACATACAAATATTTTATGCTCCAGATTTACATTTCAATTTTATTGTCGAAATAAGATCCTCACAAGTAAATAATATCAATTAAAAATCATACGAATACAAAACATGTGAACATTTATTTCCACTTTGCCGTATCAGCGAGTCAATTTGAATTGCGCGCCCTTAGTGTTGCACAGCGTTTGCACACAGAGATGCATGACGAGCGCCGCATGAAACAACAAAAGTGCCGCAGGCCAAATATCAGCTGATTTGAAAGAAATCGAGTGATCTTTATCATTGAAATTAAGACTGGGCATCACCCTCTTTGGCAGGAGGCGTCGCAATGGGCGGTGGAGCAGAGATCTGGATCCTGCGGTGCCTCCAAGAATGCTGTAGTTCGAATGGCTGCCGAGCAGGCTGTTTGGGATTCCCCAGGCAAGCGGCGACGACAAGATCATAAGTAAGTGTTTTAAAAACAACGAAATCAAATTGTATTCGGCAAGCTTCATGAAAGAATCACCCATCTTTAATTTGAAAGAGCTGATCTCTGTACTTTCTATCCATCTCACAGGGTGGCGCCGACGAGAGAACGCCAATTGGTGGCGGCGCCGGATCAGACGATTCGATCCCGCCGCCTAATGAAGGAATACCGCGAAATGGAGCGACTGCAGACCAAGAACGATGCTGTCTTCACGGTAAGGACTCTTTTGATTTTGATTTGAAAATCCTCTTTTTATAGAACAATTACTAACATCCTACCATCTTCTCAGGTGGAACTCGTCAACGATAGCCTGTTCGAGTGGCACGTACGCCTGCATGTGATTGATCCCGACTCGCCCCTGGCCAGAGATATGGTTGAGATGGGTGTGCCGGCCATCCTGTTGCACCTGAGCTTCCCCGACAACTTCCCCTTCGCCCCGCCGTTCATGCGCGTGGTGGAGCCGCGCATCGAGAAGGGTTACGTGATGGAGGGTGGTGCCATCTGCATGGAGCTGTTAACGCCTCACGGATGGGCCAGTGCCTATACGGTGGAGGCGGTCATCATGCAGTTCGCAGCCAGCGTGGTCAAGGGTCAGGGCAGGATCATGCGGAAGCCAAAGAGTACAAAGGAGTTCAGTCGGTAAGGAAATACATATATCTTATCTCAATATCATTTGTGATTGCACTCTGTGATTGCTCCACAGGCGCCAGGCGGAGGAGTCGTTCCGGTCGCTGGTGAAGTCGCACGAGAAGTATGGATGGGTGACGCCCGCCCTGTCCGATGGTTAGATGCTCAGATGCTCTGCGTTTGCCAACACAACCAATGTAATTTAATATTCAGCCACCCAGCAAAGTTCGCTCTTAGTAATACTTCAAGCCATCTATCCATCCTTATACTATCCCTTTGTTTCATCTACTTGTCAAGTAACGAACGATTTCAATTGCAAACCATCCAAAGCAACAATACGAATTCTAAGAAACAAACAACAAGAAATAATAAAACAGCAAAGGAAACAAAGGAAAAACGCGCATCAAGCAACAAATTAGCTTAAAGTGTAACTCTAGCTCTTAGTCATCAGTAAATCGGAAGTTTCGCCGAATACAGAATGGATAATTAAGTATTATTTAGTTGAACAGAAACGAAAAAACAAGCACTTTTCCATAATAATTTCAATCGCCTATCGCATATTTTTAAGTTACAAAAGATTTACAGAATCAATTAGTCTGATATCTTGGTTCGACTGTTTTATTATAATTTGTTGTCATTTTTGTTAAATTTAAACAAACCATCAAGAAACCAAATTACAGCATCAGCTTGTAAACATGAGTGTGTTCCTCGAAATTCGCACTTTCATTTTAAGCTATGCATAATAAATAAATGTAACATGTGTCTATTATCGCATTTTGATTGACTGGTCGTACTTCAATTTACTTGGGGACTTTTGATATTTAAATTCATCAATGGTTACTTAGGATATGTTGTTTTTGCATATTTAAATTCTTCTAATCTGGCTAATAAAATTGTTATTTAAGATCTTTTAACATACAAATATTTTATGCTCCAGATTTACATTTCAATTTTATTGTCGAAATAAGAGAATATTTATTTATTTATTAAAAACAGCAACGTTTAATTTTTGAATTTATCAAAACGTAACGTAATTGCGCGCGCTTAGTGTTGCACAGCGTTTTCACACAGAGATGCATGACGAGCGCCGCATGAGACAACAAAAGTGCCGCAGGCCAAATACCAGCTGATTTGAAAGAAATCAAGTGATCTTTATCATTGAAATTACAAAACTGAATTATCTTTAAATACTACATTTTAAGTGAATGTGTAAGTAATACGTGAACTGGTCGAATTTTAAATAATTTCAATTTTTTAGCCCATGCTCGGTGTGTCATACTGCCTAATCGTGTATGTGGTCACTCGCATTTAGTCGCTTGCCAACACTATAAAAAAACTAAACGGGTAGCTGAAAATTACAATCACAGGACTTAATTTTGTAAGTATTTTTGGCCAATTGCGCGTGTTTTTGGCAAACTTAAGGTAGTGCCAAGTGTTCTACACGATTTGGCGAAGCTAAATCTGCAATGATTTCAAAGGGCAAGTATCATTTACCTCGTGAAAAGTGGCTGCCAAAAGTTGCAAACGCACTTCGTGGGTGAAAAAAATAGACAGTCGCACTGCCCGCGGCGGCAGCGACGCCGGCTGCGCTGCCGCTGCGCCCCGAAGTCCTGCGGAAAATCGGGAAATTCTTAGCCACCTTAAGAATCTCCGTAATTGTTGTGGAAAAATGCTAGGGAATGCTTTCTTGACACGGCGGATCTTGGAACTGCCTTGATGAGCGATCTTTCCTTTTGGAGCTAAAGGATATAGTGTTGCATTTGAAGAATTAGTCCTTGAAAAATGATTACAATCTTTTTGTAACTCTTCAAATACTTCTTTAAATTAGAACAAGATATTGCCATTTGGTATGATCGCAGCTTATCGTAGATCTGCAATTTGTAATCAACCCGGAAAGAATTCTTTATAATAATTTTGAGTGACACAAATGATAAATAATAATTGAATATTTCATACTTTACCATAGCGAATATAGGTGTCAAATAGATAGAGATGTACTATATTACTCATCATCATAGTATAGTATCAATTAATCAAAGGTTACAGAGTTTTATTTAGGCTATACGTTGTAATTTCCTAAATTAAGAACGGATGCCACTGTATAGTTAAAAAATGTATATAATTTAGGGGTTCCTAATTGGAAGAAAACTATATACAAGTATCCATGCCCCAAGTAAACATCAAAGTCTTAAGCTACCAAAAAACCATTCAGATAACCCAAATCCCGAGTTTCAAAACCGAAAGGTTGAACCAGATCAAAGACATCTGACTACAGATGCACCCAGTAAACACTAAGTAATGCAGTATCATTACAGCTGCTACCCAATTTAGCCATACCCTCAACAAGGGTATAAAAATAACCCTGGGAACCAAGAAGTAAACAATTGCTATTTTTAGATACACGGCAATGGAATCGGAGACGAAAGCGAGTGGCGAGGAGCAGCAGCAGGAGAACCTCTCGACAGTGCCCATGGACACGCTGGATCCGCCGCCACCGACTGGTAGCTCCAAGACCCTCAAACGCTGCCTCAGTGTGCCAATAATCCGGACTCCGACGGCGGGCAAATCGGGAAAGACCCCGATGACCACACGCGCAGCCGCAGCGGCTGCTCTGGCGGCCAGGGAGCACGAACAGACGCCCAAGAAGAGCCAACAGGTGGTGGATATCCAGATGCCGAATGCTCCATCCATCGATTGCTTCGGCAAGAACATACACATACGATCCCAGCCCAATTCCAGGGAGGTTTCCCCGGCTCCCGTCTTCAATATATTCACACCTCGAGCCAGAAGGTACTCGGCCAGCTATAGTCCACTGACCACGGCAGCCAATGGAGCTACCCTCTGCCTCACTCCGCGGGTTTCCCAGCTGAGGCAGGAGGAATGCGCAGACCTGAACAGCCGGGAGGTGAACCATGAGCGTGAAGTTCATCGGGAAATACAAATCTCGCAGAGCTGGGAGGACCTGACGCTGGTGGCCGAGAACTGGTCGTGCAAATCGGACGAGTTCTCCAATCCCCTGCAGGTCAGCCTGCCACCCACCGGCACTACCAGCTGTTCCAGTCCCAGTCCCACAAACAATCGCGCGGGCATGAGACTACCATACTCCCCGTCGCCCACGAGACGCACGTTTGCCACCAGGAGGTCGATGTCTCCCATTGCCATGAGGCCATCTCAGCTGGGACCCGTGAAAAGAAAATTTGAGCTGGACGATAATCCCACTCAGGGCAGCAATTGGAGCGTGTACTCTCCTCCGCCTGTGAAGAAAATATTCACTGAGAGGTACGATATTGGATATCTAAAGTATATTAACCTGAATAATTATTTTTAGTTTATTTAATCAACTAGCTTTGAATGGGTTAATGGGTCGTTCGCATTCGATTTTGAAAAAGTAGTCAGCTTAACAGTTTGTAGTCAATGAAATACGCCTTATAGCATTTAAAATATTAGCTTTGATAGTATTTCAGATCGAAGTAAAACAGCTAGTGTCTTGTAGTCTAAAATTATATTACTTCGGGCCTCTTGTAAAATTTAAATTTAGATATTTTCGGCTTAGTTGCAGTTGTTCAAAGGCTATAAATAATACCATTGTGGTGCGAGTACCATTCATTTAATTATATTAGATAGCCAATAGTATAGGTGTAAGTAATTGTGCTACTTGCTGAATATTTAGACAAAGGGCTTACATACAAAATTAACGAAAATGGCTTTCCCTTTCCATTTCAGTCGCGGCTCCTCACCGGTGTGCCAATCACCTTCGTCGGTGTGTCCCAGTCCGGATTCCGGAACCTTTGACGGTCGCCTTACGCCCAAGTTGTTCATCTCGAAGCTGTGCACAAGTAATTCGGTGAGCGGAAGTGGAATAAATAATAATAGCAGTAGCTCAGGATGTCCGTCGCCCGTTTCCGCCTCGCCCGGAGGAGTTGGCAGCGGTCCCAATCTGGAGGCTGCCATGTGCCTCGTTTCCGGAGGAAGCCAGAGCCAAAGCATCGACGAGGGCATTTCGATACCCGAATCGGAGACGCACTCCTGCCGCAGTCGCACCTCTTCCATACTGTCTACTGCATCGTCTAGTACGCAGGTGCTGGTCAACGACCTGGTGGATGATGCCACTCTAATGGACGATGCCAAAAGCGAGACCTCCTCAATCGGTGGATGCTCCACCATTAGCATAGAGTCATCCTCCTGCGACAGTGGTGCCAAGACAGCTGCCACTTTCCTGAATCGCCTGGTGGTGGATTCAGATGGCGGTGGTTCGCCGCTGGCCCAGAAGAGCTTCTATATCAACAAGCAGGGATTGTCGGGCGCCAAGAAGTTTGTTGTCAATCACGAGCGAACGGGAGCCACTAGCAAAGATGTGCCGCAAAAGCTTTAAAAACATACACAGATTATCTTAGCTTAGGGGTCGGTTTTAGGAATGCTAAGAAATGCTTATAATCTCAGGCGCCAAAAATTAATCCTTGCTACACTTTAGATGATTTGCTTTGAATCCTTCAGAAGGTTTATTGAAATTATTTTCCGATAAACACGCTTAGCTTGATCATTTATAAGTTCTAGAATGTCAACTAAACCAAGGGTTTTGTTATGAATCCACAAGCAATATTTTTTACAAAAAAAAATTGAATTAGGATACCTTTGGAGCAATATGTAAGAGGTTAAAAATGGTTTATAAAGTATATTTCTTATAGTGTTCAAAGCAAGTCTCCCTGAAGACACAACAGATAAATTGGTGGTACTTTGATTTTTGTTTAAGAAAATCGACCCAAAATAACCAATAACACACACGCTTAAGTTCGGGATCTCAATCGATCCTGACTTGCTTAATATTAGGTCGTAGTTTTGTTGTACATAGTTAAGTTGTTTGTCTGAAGTTCTAAACCATCTTGCATATCATTTATCGAAGCACACTTACACCCTCTTTCACCCCTAGAAAACATTTGTTTTTAATTTGTTAGCCTAAGGTTCACTATATATAGCCAGATCTTTGTGTTATATGATGTTCTCCATTTCCAATGTTTTGATTAAACAATCTATTTTTTTTACACACTTCCTTATTTAAGTACGAGCTTATACTTTAGTTTTGTTTTTAGTCGCAACCTCACCCTAGATTTTAAGAACAAAACCCCAATTTTGCCAAATATGTTTCCTTTATGCCTATATGTAATTCAGCATTATATTGCCTATAATGTGATCCAATTTAGCGCAAATATCTGCGCGTAACCCCAAAAACCTACTGATATAGTAACGCATATATTATATAGATTTACGATTCGATTCTAATTATCGTAAGCGAATTTACGTAGTTTCAGGAAAATGTTATACTTAGAAAGGATCCAAAACGAAAGAATTGCCTATTACACATTTTTTCAATCGATCAAATTGTCTGTTTTTGTTGGTTGGGCTAAAAGGTTTGTATAGGGATACATAAGGAGGTGTGTTCAATGCAACTTACAGAAAAAAAACTTTAAAGATATATTAACTAGATTATAAAAGAGCGGGTTAAGTAAAAGTTATCTCACGGCCAGTGAACTTGACCTTGACTTTATTCTTTTTTTTTGTTTAGGTTATATGTATGTAAGTAACTAAAGCTAACGAAATACAGTTCCTATTCAACTGATCTAGTTGAACAACGAAATACTGAAATCCTTCTACCATACTTTCATAAATACATAAAGAAGAATAAATAGATAAAAATTACTACATGTATATACAACTTTTATGATATCGTGCCAGCGTGAAGCACCTGCAAGCTCGAGTAGGTATCCATACACACGAGATGCACACACACGCACCGAAAAGTTCGAACACCTGGGGAGTGGGAAGCCGAGCATTGCTCCCCATTCGCAGACAGCGACATACTGGTTCCCCACACAGATAGGACACAATGCACATGGCCAGATGCTCGTGCCTCGAACACGGACGCCAATCCCCCAGGCCAGAAGCCAGAAACCAGGCACCGAGACGGAGACGGAGACCGAAAGCACCGATAAGCCAGGCCGATTCCACACGGACCAAGTCGAGTGGGCGTCTGTGGTTCGCTTCAAGCGGCTGGACGTGTGAGTGGATCCGATACAAACGAGTTTTATGGCAAAAAACAGAACAAAAAATAAGATAACTAAGCGCAGCAGTCACGATCGCCAATATTCCGAGACCGAGACACCAGAGCAATCGGGAGCCTAGCCAAGCATTCGAGGCGGACCTGGGGATCCGGCTCCATATCATCACAGGGGCAGAACCCCACTACCCACGCTGATGGAATACAAATTAGAAGAAAACACGCTATCCTAGCCCTCGAAAAGTGACTCAAAACTGACTATGTACATTGCATACATATATGCATATGTACATAAGTCGGTTCCGAGGTGAGTCGATCCAGTTAAGGTGAGTTTGTCTTTCGCCTTTTGAATATTGTTCAAGTTATTTGGAGTATACGTATTATACGCCCATTATACGCATAAATGATTAATAGAACGGGTTGAATATACGTTTATAAATTAAGTTTTAAAAGCTTCTAGATAATTTATAACTACTTAAGTCACAGGACGAAAAACTTATTTACAAAGCAATTAAACTTAGGAAACGTTAGTTTTGAAAACCGAAAACTAGTCGAACTTGATTTGTGCTGTGCTCCTTTAGTAATAAATGTAAAAGGAAAGAAAATGGATAATTTTCCACCCGTAAGCGACTTTTCAACAGTTCATAAAAAACGATCGAGCGATTTTCAGGCAATTATTGAGCACTTAACAAAAGATCGCCCTGAAAATGGAAAATAACCAAAGAAGCGGCCAATAATTAAAGTCAATTACTAAAGTATATGTACACGTATGTTCGTATACACGTATATACATGCATAAAAAGGAAACCAACAACAAAGCTAAAAATAAGAAGAAAAGCAACTGCGAATGAAAAAAGTTGAAGGCGCACGGTTTTACTTTAGTGCTGCTGCTCGGACGTCAATAAATTTTTTTTTCGACGTCGACGTTGACGTCGGCATTGGCATCGGCGTTGGCGTTGCCGTCGCTGTTGTTGTTGGTTTTTACGCTTTGGTCACGCTGCTCCACCTACCCCCTGTAACCCCACTCACTCCACGCTTCCGTACTCCCACTCGCCCACTCTCCCGCCCACCTCCCCCTCCATTACACTCTCCTGCTCTCTCTTCGCCTCTCTGCACGGGCGTAAGCAGTTGTGTCGAGGGGGGTCCCACCTCTCCCAATTATAAACATTCTTAAATTTTGTTTTCTCCTTCAGTCAGACCTAGTTTAATAAAAAGTAATTTATCATATTTGCGTCATATTGGCATTTTATTTAAGATAAGCTAAGTATATGTATAGTTAGCTTAAAAGACAATGCCATTGCTTAAGACCTGCAAGACCTTCATAAGGAATTGGTTCCAGTTGCCTTACCCCCTTCTCGTGTCCTGCCTACGCCTATGCTCTTGCGAGCAAAAATCGTGAGCTGTTGTTGTTGCTGCTGCGCCTGTTGCTCCGGCTGTAATTGCAATTGTTTTTGTTGTTGCCCTTGTTGTTGTTTTGGGGCATTTTCTTTGTTTTTCGTATTTCGCTCTTGCGTGGCCAGAAGAAAAATCAAGTTAACACGCCAAAGGAGAAGGGGTATTGGTGGGAAAGGGGGGCTAAGGCTCACGTTTGTGTGCACAAAAAAAGCCTTAAGCGCTGCCCACATGGTTGTTGTTGTTGCTGCTCTGCTCGCTTCGCTGATTCACAGACCGAGCAGCGCCGCGGCAGCGCAGTCGCCGTCGACGTCGACCGAAGCTCGACTTTTGCGGCGTTTTGTTGTTTTTGCCGAGAGGTGGCTGCTCGGCAAGCCGCAAATCGCGAATCGCGAATCCAGTTTCTTCTTCACTTCTTCGCACGGCAGACGCAGCTCAATCGCCATCGCCGAGCGCACAAATTGCGGATAAAAAACGAAAGAAAGGAGCGAATCTTCGCAAAGAGGGCGAGAGGGGTGTGCAATCGCAGAATTCATACGATCGGAATCTCCTGGGTTATCAATGGTGCGTATGCGACTTGTCAGGATACATATTAGCCGGTTGCTTCATATAGAAATATAATATATTGTTACTTTGTCGTTGGACAATCTTTATTGTAGTTTTTCCATATTAGAAAGTCATTTTCTTGCAGTTGAGACATTTTAAATTGCAAATACTGATAAGACGCTAGTTATCCGCAGTACTTCAACATAGGAATTTTTCTGTGATATAAAACACGCCTACGTTTATGCAATGTTTTTTTTTGCTGCAGTTCGGATCATTTAACTTCTTACGTTCATTTCTGATCATTCTAACATTGCAGATTTGATGGAGCTGGCTCTGAATAAACCATCGTCCTGCGTGGACTGCTGCAAGGACTGCACTCTGCTGCCCTGCTGTTCTGCCTCTGCCTGCTGCGACGCTAGCTGCGACGCCGCCTGCGGACTACTACCCCCCGATCCGGTCAGATATGAATACCAGGAGCCCGAAGAGAACTTTATATCAATAGATGATGTGAAAATCAAGAGTTTCCTGTGGCAAATCGGTCAGCAGCAGAGGGAAAAGGAGTTGGAAATAAAAAGAATCAAGGAACAGCAGAAAAGGGAGAAAAGAGAGTTGGAAGAGCGGGAGGCCGAGAAGCGAAGAGACCAAGAGGTAATCGAATTAGACGAGGAGGAGGCTCCATCACCCAGGGGTCTGATTATCAGCGCAGCCAGGAGTCTAGCGCATTGGAATTCGTCCATTAGGAGGATAACTCCAGATATCGAGCTCATTCCCAGACAGGTGCACACCGTTGTCGCAGAAATCGAGCTAAGTGATAGTGATCATGACGAAGCTAGCGAAGAAAACGAAGATGTGAATCTTCCATCAAACACTGTAAGCTGCGTCCTGAATGAGCGGCGACAGGAGGAAACTCAGAACGAGAATTCCCAGGAACAGGTAATCATTGTGCCCTCCGACCAGGAAGAGGAAGACAAGGCAGAGAATGTCATCAAAAGGAAATCTTCGGGCTCGAGGAGATTAGTGAAGAGGCGACCAGGTGCCAACAGAAGGGGAAGGCATATGTACGAATGTCCTGACTGCGGAAAGAAAGTGCAATCTAATTACAATCTAAGACGTCATATGATGATACATACAGGTACTGAACTTGAAATATGATATTCCAATATGTCCACTGATCTCTCATAATTTAATTTGCTCCAGGTGAAAGACCGTTCCCATGTGATCTGTGCGAGCGACGTTTTCGGGAATTTAGCGATCTTAAGAAGCATCGTCGAAGGCACTCACATGATCCTCAATTTATTTGCATGATCTGTCACTTGGGACCACCTCTGGAGCAGGATTCTACAAGGTGTGAAGATTGTGAAAGCAAGAATCTTATGGTAAAACCTCAACCGGAGGAACTGGGCGATAAAACAGCGGAGGAGCATTCGGATGAGATGGAAGAGGATGATTGCGAAATAGAGGAAGGGGACCGAGAAGAAGAGGATCAGCAACATGTGGAGGCACAGCCCAGTTTAATGGTTACTTTAATACCACCTATTCAATGTCTTCCGGAAAAGGTTCCTCCACACACGCAGCCAAGTCGTCCGCCACTTCCTCGCAGCTGCAGCAGTGCCAACTCCTCATCTTCCTTGAGCAACGATGGAAATGTATCTGGAAAGCCTGTAAGTCGCACTCGCAGATCTTATCCTTGTCCTTTATGTCATCGTCCCTTCGGAACTCGTCATAATCTTAAACGTCACTATATGATCCATACGGGAGAGAAGCCTTTTAGCTGCTCAAAATGCAGGAAACCCTTCAGGGAGTGCTCCACCCTTAAAAAACACATGGTCACTCATGTCAGGGATCGCTGGTACAAGTGTCTGAGGTGTCCCTCCAAGTTCAGGGACTATCTGGAGTACTCAGATCACAAGACCAGGCATGTGGACCAGCAGAGTAGCCGCAAATCGTCCATTTACGACAGTGACGATGATGGCGACAGTTCTGTGGAAGATTGTCTAGAATGCTGCGAGTGCCAGCAGCGATTCACGGAATTGGATGCTTATACGGCCCATCTTAAAAAGCATGACTTGGAATTGTACGGAATGAGTATCGATGATGTGGTGGACGAGGAGCAAGAGGAGGTAGATGTGGCATAGAAAATGTTTCGAACCCACAATAATATAAACTGAGCGGGAATTTTAAATTCTAGGCCAGTGTTTCTAATGCATAAAGAGGATTGAAAATCCCTTATTTCACATAAATTAGCTAGTAAGGATCATTAAAGCATTCCCTATTAATATATTTATATTCATATCTTTATGTCATAACAACGCGCCATAATCCAACTCCTAAATGATATAAAAGCTTTGAGAACTGAATGATAAGCTACAGAAAAAAACTTAAGTTGTACTTATTTATAAATATTATGATATATATTTTTTTATTAAAAAATAAACGAGTTAAGTGCACAAGAGTCGGTGAAATATACAAAAGCAAGTCATAATTTCATAAAACCTGCCTGGGTGTCGAGCAATTACAAAGATTGAGCTAAAATCGATTTGTGTAAATGTTAACTACCAAAATAAATAGTAAACAGAAGCGTAAGCGTAGGAAAAAATGACTAAGATTGGGGCGCTTGAAGCGGGAGAATCCACGGAGTGGCGATCTTTAGATGTCCAGCAGCACAGGCTTGGTTTCCTTGGCGCACTTGAACACCGATCGCATCATCTTTAGGAATCCTGTATCTTTGGGTTTCTCCAATCCACGCTGCACGCGATTCTTCATCACCGAAATAAACTCCTTGTTGCTGAGTTGGTTGTCATCTAAAAGAGGTTGGACGAATGAATTTATGTTATCTCTTTAAATTCACAATTAAATATGAAACTTACTATTCTCATCAAAGATGGTGAAGACCACATCCACCACATGATCCGAAAGATTGACCATGGCTACCGTTTTGGCCACGTGCTGCAAAGTTTGTTGATCAATCGAGGCACCGGCGATGTGGTAGAAAGTCAGGGCAGTGTCCACGTCGTTAATGTTGTTTAGGAAATGGAAGAAATCTAGATAGTCCTGTTTGGAGATTCCTTTGCCATGGTCCCTAAATCTCCTCTTAACCCTCTTTAACTTCTTTTGCTTCTTTTTTAACGGATATCCAGCATAGGCCAGTAGGAGTTCTGCGAAATCCGCTTCTGTTATATTCCCCTCATCGTTGGGTTCTTTTCTTTCAAATTCGAGTGACAAGATCTCCCTTTGCAGTTGCTCCTGGAAATCCAGGAACTTCTCAATCGTCAGCTTTTCATCCATATTGGGGCCAAAGAAATATGTGATTAAAGCCGAGTTCACACCCTACGAAAACGATTTAAAAATAAGAAATTAAAATTTCCAAAACAATATTATTTTGACATAAAGAAGATTAACTTGTGTGCATGGGAGCAGGTGCATCGTGGAATTAACTACGAAAAATGTGATTTGGTTTAACTTGAGTGCGATTGTGTTTGAATGTTTTGAAAATAAATTTGAAAAGGCAAAAGAGGTCAATAAGCATTATCACACAAAGTACCTTCAAGGACTGTAAGTACATCAAAAACAGAGGGAAGTTAAGATTCGATATGTACACAGTTTAGACACGCGTTCAATATTTAGGTTCAAAGCGAAAAGACAGAGAATACACAAATATACAAATGGAATCGTATTTAGTACGGCTCGAGGTACTCTTTCTGATTAATATCTAGTGCAACTGAGTCTTATTACCTTAAAGGTGTTTCCTGTGTTGGCGTGATCTCGGTGTCGGGTTCCCATGCTGGTTTGCTGCCTCACCAAGGTGGCCACCATTTCGAATTCCTCGCAGTCCACGTCACCATCCCCATTCAAATCAAACATGCGGAATGCAATCTCAAAGTGGCGCCGTGAAACTAGAAAGAAAACGAGGTTATTGGAATGTATTCAATGGAATACTTATCACTTACTTGAGAGAACTGTGAGCAAGAAGATGTAGTCTGAGAATGTGATCAGTCCGTATGAGCCCAGTTTGTAAAAAATGCTGTTCTTCTCCAGGTGCAAATTGAGCTGCTCGCCAACAGACTGTTAGGGGAAAGCTTAAGTTATTTACTTACATTACAAATGCATTTTCGACTTACCTTAGGATCATATCGACGATATTGGTCCAGACCCAAGCCTAAAAGAAATAGCTGTTATTGCAGGAACTCTCTAAACATGTTGTAGGTTAGTAAGTTCTGAAAAAGAGGCTTTCTGAAGATTTTCCCTGATTTTCTAGCACATACCATCTGGTTGCTTCATGCCGGGCGTCATGCTTGTTAAAAAGTCGGTCGGAGTCATGTAGACTTCATGACGGTCATCCGCCACCGGCACCTGTATGGTGGCAAAGTAGCGAAACACTTTGTCCGGCGTGGAGAACTGCCGGATACGGTTCTCATACTCAATTATCTAAGGCGAACAACGTAGGTTTAGCTTACGAAAGGGCAGGAATCATGAATTTCTCTTAACGAACGCTTCAAATTATGAAAAGTTATGCTAACTCAAAGTTACAAAAACAACTCGAAATATAAAAAATATCCTTAGGAAAATTAATCTAATAACTAAATATATAACTCTATATGTGGTCATCTCAATGAGTGATTTACCATCTGGCTGCTTGATTCCCGGATAAATGGAGCGAAGGAAATCCTCGGGAGTCATGCAGACAATCGTTTGGGTGGCATCCTGCAGTCTTACGGTGGCAAAATAACGAAAAATTTTGTCGGGTGTGGAGAACTGCCTGATTCGGTTCTCATACTCAATGATCTTCGTGGTGTGTTTAATGTGTTTGATGGTGGGTCAAAAACAAGACGTCACAAACATAAAAGAAACGGTAATAATCAAAGAGTTTGGTTTAACATAATATACGAAATTTTAAAATATATTAAAATTTTTGTTTTATCCGGTCCTCACGACTGCTACAAAAACTCTTTCATTTTGCAAATAGTGGTTAAGTCATGTGGCAAAAAGATATCAAATAACGAGTACATTTTTTCAGAATAACAAATATTGAAAATACGTTTTTAAACGAAGATTTTAAAAGATTTTTCAGCAATTTTTAAAACTGTGAAAACCGGAATTAAACGAAAGTATAAAGGATCTTTTTACAGAGTTATAGAGACAGAGAACTGTAGCGTCGTCAAGCAGCTTTATACCTTCCTCTCGCGGAAACCAACTTTCTCGCGGATCTTCTTGCCCTCGTGCAGGTGCAGATCGGATTCCGAATCCTCATCCTCGCTATCGTCCGATTCGGATGTCTTATCCTCGCCATTAACGCCAGCCTCCGATGATGGACGTTGTCCAGCATCCGCGTCCACCTTTGGCAACAACAGGCGCTTCACTCTAAAAATAGATTCCAAATTAATAATTTTGACTTGTCTGAAAATACTTTTTTGGTTAGTTTACTCACTTGCCCCAGTCCAGTACCGAAATGATGAACAAACTAAGGATGAACAGGTGGAAGTACTTTGTCACATTGGGCGTCTTCTCCTCCTGATGGCCAAAGCGTTTGTGGCCCCTAACTTGCATCACACTTAAATTGGCACTCGATTTGGTCAGATCCTGGGCATTATGATTGCTATTTCGGTTGCACAAAGTGGAGGCGCAGGCGATTTGTGCTGGGTTTTGGAGGATATTGAAGGTTCTTGGTCTCGTTAGGGCAGCCAAGGCCTGGCGCGTCACCAGGAATCGCAGCACAGACATTTTCGATAGCGTGTTTAACTAGGTTTCTCTATATTATTAAATCAACTTCGATATTTATGCGCATTTTTGGCAAATACGTTAGTGTTACCGGATTCTGTTATATGGATAATACCAACTTGCGGTGATGTGTTTACTTTTGATGTCTGGTGTTTTAGAGAGTATTACACTGCACTTTGTCCACATGCACCACTCCAATCAAACAAAACAATAAATAAATGAAACTTTAAAGAATACGAAGAATATTTAAGTGATTTTAAGAATAAATTATATTAAGTAGGTTATTGAGTAGATTAATGAGTACATTATATTAAATTTGTTTGTTTAAAGAGCATGCGATGAATTGTGCAATAGGAACAACCAGAAAATACCGAATTTATGGTATTTTCGTGTTGCACATCTTTCAGCTTTTGTTCATTGCTCTAATCAGCTGCTTGGAGTTAAAGTTTGTTTTCTTGTTTGTTTACAAATTTGTATTTGTATAAATGTGATAAACGCCATAGTTCCCTAAACCAGCTATGGCTGTGCATACTCGATACTAATAAGGAGGAAACTATGAAACAGTAAGTAGCTGACATGGTGCTCCGGAAACCGTACTATTAAAATTATTTACAGAAAAACAAAGAGTTCCCAGTTGGAATTTCAAAGGAAATTCGGCGAAACTACAGAGAAGGATTTTAGTAGAAATACGCATAAATGCCTCGTAGAGCCATATGATCCACAGAAAGAGAATCCATGCTACCAGGTCCCCGAACATGGGAAAAATAAAGATCTGGAAAAGAACTTAGGAACAGTGGATCCTTACCCAGATGACAGGCATATCCAGGTGAAAAACGAGCCGATTGAAGATGATTTCCCAGAAGCAGATGGCCAGGCTTTAGATAGTGAATCCTATTACTTCGAATTGCAAGTGAAGAAGGAATTAATTGAGGAGGATTATGCGGAAAATTATAGTTTCTGTATGGATAATACCAAGGATAGGACTCTGCACAGATGTACCCACTCTTCGGGGGAGTTTCAGTTCCCCAAGCAGCTCGAAGTACATATGAGGACCCATTCCCAGCTGAAGCTAATGCAGTGCCCCGAGTGCTCAAAGACTCTGGCAACCAAGTCGACCCTTAGACGGCACATGCGAACGCACACAGGGGAACGACCTTTTCAGTGCTCCGAGTGTCCTAAAACTTTCGGGAGGTCGCAGTGTCTTAAGGACCACCTGCGCACTCACTTGGTAGATCGAATGTTCAAGTGCCCCGAATGCCCGAAGGATTTTGTCCATGAATCTTACCTGAAAGTCCACATGCAAATTCACTCCAAGCATAAGCCGCACAAACGCAGCCAGTGCCCAAAGTCCTCAACCCGGTCATATTTTCTCAAGGAAAACAGCCTAACACATAGTCAAACTGGACGTCAGCACGAGTGCTTCATTTGCCAGAGGACCACTTCAGTACAAAAAGTCTAAAGCCCACATTCGTAATCACCCGGATGGAGAGCCTTATCAATGTTTGAACTGCAAAAGGAACTATAATTGGAAGTCTAGTCTCAAAAATCACCTGTGATCGCACACACGGTGCCGCCTAAACTCATATTTATCGGAAGTAGCACCTAGTCTGTAAAGCTTATTGTTGTCGCTGGATCGAACAACATTGGAATGAGCAAATAATATTTCATTTATAGTAAACTATTAAGGGGTTCCGTGCAATTAAATGAATTAAATTAGTGATGATTAGTTGAACATCTAGCTTTGTTTAATATTACAATATTTAAAATATTGGATCCTTACGTTTTCCTACATTTTCTGTTGAAGAGCGCTAAAATAAAATTTGAGGGCTCTACCACCTCCAAGGGAATGTTTACCTTATAGAATCGCAGCTCCGTATTTTAGCGGGCAAGTGACGGCTGATTGCCGGCACGCAAGTTCTTTGAATCCCATTAATCAATCAAAATGTATCAATCAGGCAGTTTAATTGCACACACGCTCGCTGAAATAAGGAGTTTCGATGCTTTTGGCAACCGCCCGTTGTAAACCACTCGGAACTCGAAATGCATCCAAAGCACAACAGAATATGGGAGGCTGGTTGCAGGTGAGTCTGCATCCACCTGAGGTTTTGATTAATGTTGGCCAAGCCCCAATTGTCTGAATCGCTGACGTATTTATTGAGCGATACTTATTTATCGCTTTTTCCACCAGTGCCGCCACCCAGTGCTAATAATAATGTTTGAATCAACATGTTGCAAGCAACTTCCGCTTTCACGCTCTATGAAGTGAAAGAAAAGCACCAGCGTAGTGACGAGCGCACCTTCAACATACAAAATGATACACTATTACGTAAAATGCTGGCCAGGTTTCGGTGATTTGCTCTCATTACAACTCGGTTTCATTTGGCCTGTCCGAATTGAAACAATTAAATCCGCATTAGTCTGACACGATTCAATGGTAAAATTTCGAAACTCAGTCGACTGGCTGGCCGTCTTAATTAAATCAGTTCGATCCGTTCGCAATACTTCATTTGCAATTTGTTGGAATTAGAATGGAGATCTGACCAACGAGCAACTGGCACCGCTTGATTAGCATTTTGCAAATTAATTTCTCATTAGCAACAATTTCAAATAATTGGAAGTGCATACGCAATGAGTGCGTAATGACCATTCCAGGCAAATGGCCTGCTATTTCAAAGGCTCCCCTTAAAGCCCATGCTCCGGAAATTGTTTGTCGATTGGCCTTTGGGGGCATCCCAATAATGGAGCCAGACGTGGCCAACTTTTATCAGTTAGCCTGTGGGTCTGCAGGGCCTGCTAAATCAATGCAATTAATGTCACTTCCTCTGCATTTAATGTCTATGTTTTCAGTAATCGTCGTTGGCGCCATTAGGCCTTTATATCTATCTGCCTGTCCACGCCACAGTCAGTTCTCCCAGCCAATTAACCGGTTTTGCACTTCCACAATTCTGATCGTGCACTAAGACAAAAAATGGCTAAATATAATATATTATTCTTATTGCTACTACTTCAAAACTAGACTGGGATACAAGATTGGCGACAAGATACAAGATACAAGATTAATAGGTACACTAAGAAGCCGCCCTCTTTGGGTGCGCTTCGTCACTACGTGTATTAGCTAAATTATTATAATATCCCATTTGCAGGAACTACTTACACTCGTATTACTATTTCAATATATTTTAAATACGTTATGTGTTTGTTGTAGTGCATCTTCAGAGGACAACAGGTCTTTATATCTAGTCGTCAGCTTTGCTCATATTAATGTTGCCAAGGACCGTGCGTGGATCTTTTTGTTTTGGTTGGGAAATGTCTTGAATTGATAGGGCTAAAGTGAGTCGGTTATTTGAGCTTTGTTAGTGCTTTGAGTGGATTTTATGTGCGTCCCTGATTTTTTAGACACCAGTGATATTTTAATACAATAGCGATGCTTGTTATTGTTGGCTAGTTTCATTGCTAACCTGCATAAAAGTGATATACTTATTTTAAGCCTCACCTGAGCGAGATATGCCCTAGTTTCTTGTTCCTTATTCTCTTGTTACCAAACAAATTGGCTTAAATAAACTCATAATAAATAAACTCATAAACTCATCTGGCTCAGGCTTCAGCAGTTCCAGCCGTTATTCCATGCTTGGAGTTTATGTACAAATTGTGTGTTCGGTGTAAACCCACTTGGTTGCCATTCATGTTCGTGCTGATATGGATTCCCATGCGAGAATTGGTCACGCCATCGAACTGCTTAATTTACTTGTCGTCCTCGATTTCAATTGCGTTTATAAACTGTTCTCTTCGGTCAATTGATTGTAAGTTGACTGTTATTAGTTATAAATGAGACCTTAAATTTTCCGCCACACTTCCGATTAAGTGTATCTGTATTTGGGGTGGTGAATTTGCGCCTGTGCAATTAGCCTCAGTTGTTTTCTTGTGTCGAAAGCGTTCCTTTGGCTGCATCCTTTGCTCCTGTGCTCCTTTTGGCAAGCAATTGATTTACGCTTTGCTAGGCAAATTCTGGAGAAGGAGCTGTGGGTGGGAACAGAGGACAAACCATTAGCAAAGGACTCAAAGTACAAACACACAAATTGGCACACATTTTGCATGGAACTTAGAGGACACTTTGTGGAAGCTGAGTTAGTCAGCCTTATGGGATTACAGCTGAGGCCAATGCAATATGTACATGTGTGCTTTAAATGGTAGTTTCTGAATTGATTTATGGTTGATTGCTTAAACAAATTCCTTTAAGTTTGATTGTTTTTCCCATAATAACGAGTAATTTTTAAAAGTCAAATATATTTTTTTGTTATAGTGGTTATTTTCGGCCCCGATGGTAAAATAACCCTTTGAACCTTATTGAATGGAGCCAAAGACTTCTGTGGATGGCTATCCTACACAGAACTGAAAAGGAGCAAAATGGTGATATATGAGGGATATGGAGGAGCATATGGCAGCGGCTGCAGGACTGAATATCGAGGAGTGAAAGGTGAGCACACGCCCACAAGGAGGAGCATCAAAGAGCTTTTAATTAATCAAGAGGCAATCCACTTTGGCGTCTGAAAACGTTGGCCAATATGCCAATACCAATTGGGAGTAAGTCAACCTACCTTACCATGCCTTCTAGCCATCTCTTTCGATTTTGTAGTGGGATCTCTTTCTGATTTAGTGCGCTATCCCTTTCGCCTGGTCTTAGCCTCTACCTTCCCCATTTCGTTTGCTTTGTCCTTGCTGGCCGATAAACTTCCAACCTTAGCATTCTTCCCTGCACATGCATTTATTGATTGGCTCTTTCCCCATCCAGAAGCTCTTTTCCTCGTATCATACTGCATTGGCATACATTATTAGTTTGTTTCATGTCCAATTCACAGCGATTTGTAGTTGTCACTTAGGCGAGTTCGTAGCTGTACTAACTTTATTTGACAGCTGAACAACATTTGATTAGATCGACTGGGAAGTATTTTTTGTAGTTTTATTATGTCGTTTAGCGGCTTTGTTTATTTATTTTTTCCAATTCCTTAATCAGTTGAAAATACATATATTGCAGTGCTCAAAGTCTTACTTAAAATATGTTAAGTAGCTTAAAAGCTTCGTTACTTGTTTAATTATCAGGTAAGCCAAAAAGTAACCGCTTTTGTTGCAAAACTGTATTCCAAACACCCAACCGCCAAAGTCTTTAAAAATTAAACACGCGCAACAAAGAGTCGCTTAAAAAGTTGTTCCCAAAAAAAATGTTTGTGCGAAAAGTAAGCGCGTTTTAATTTGTTTTTACAGGGCATAAAATGAAAATCACCCGAGAGCAGGAGCCAAGCATTTTGTGGGCGTTTAAAATGGTAAAGTTGAGGTGGGTGAGGACATGTGGCTTGTGTAAATATTTTTACTTAATTAGGCCGCACAAAAAACACAAAAAAAAACTGCAAATTTACCAAAAAGCGCGTCAAAAGTGCCAAGCTCATTTTGTAAAATAAACATAAGCATTACATTAAGACCCCATGTGTGTAGCTGTTTCGTTCATTTTCTTAGGAAGGCCAGTGCGTAAAAATGAGATAAAATGTCTTAAAGTGTAATGGTTAAAATTTAAAATACCGCTTGAAACCAAGTTAACCTATGATCTTTAACTCCGCTATGGTCAGGAATGCCGATATATTTTTAATTTCATCAATTCGATTAACAATAAAACGTCACAAAGGCAAGAAATCAAAAGAGAAATATGCAATCACGCTGAAAATATTTGCATACGCCCAAACCCCCGAAACTCCGCTGCCGGTCGCCCCTTTTTTCAACCGGAAACGGAAGTAAACAATGGCCAGCGACCCGGCGCAAAAAGGCACAGACCCCGCCGCTTCCCTCTCCCTGGAAAATAACCAAAAGCGTTCCAATAAAAATGCACTGAACAATAACGAAAAGAGCTGAAACCCAATAAAAAAGCCAGAGCCAAAGAAATAAGTCAAGGCAGAAAGGAAGAAGTGCTCCGCCATTGATGATGAAAAATCGAAAATGGATGCTCGTTTTTGGATTGCCCATCCATTGTTGTTGGATCGGCGAACGGAACTTCAAAAAATGGGAAAAAAGTCAAATGAAAATGCTGAAAACAATAAGAGGAAAACGCTTTCCACACTGGGAAATTGCCAAAAGTACTGGAGGGGTACTGAAAATTATATGATGACTAAAGAAATGTGTGTGCGAACGCCATTGTTCCTGTCAAACAAAATACAAAAATGGTGGGGTACTGGATTTCTCTGCGTTTTTTGTTGAATGTCCTTTTTCTGGTTATGCTATGAAAAAACTGCAATTTGATCATTGATGGCAAAATATACAGTGTGAAGAAAAATAATAAAAAATATGTTTAAAATGTGAAATTTTTATTTCGGAGTTAACAGATAAAAATATTTTAATGTTAACGTATTTGTGGAAATTACTGACTTATTTTCATTTCATTTTATGTTATTTTATTTTATTTAAAACATAATGCACTTTCGCATTTTTTAATGGCTATTTCAAGTTTTATTGCGGCCTTAACTTTATAAATA